GCCCCACGGGCGAGACAATTAGTGCTAGGAGTGATCATTTTGTACTCCTACTGACTAGTATAGGGCGCCATTCGTTGCGGGACCCACTGCCTTAACCCGCGGGGATCCCATGCGATCGCGGTTGAATTCGAACATTCCAGCTTCTCACGCATGTCAAGTGTCTGCCCTCACCCCCCACCCCCCTAGACTGGCGACACTGCCCCTGGCTCACGGATTCCCCGCTCCACATTGAAGGGTTCACTGTAGCAGGAGGCAGTGGGACCCGTAACGAATGGCGTCCTTTACTAGTCAGAAGGAGTACAAAACGATGTAGCGTGTCCATAGGCGCTAATGGTTTTGAGGCTATAACGTGCTTAAGCACGACATGCAATTAGATACATGAATGTAAAGTGCTATTCGAATACGCATGGTTAGTGAGCAACCAAGTTTCAGCAACTCGTCCAGAGCATGCCCTCCCTCGTTTAGGGCACAGCGGAGTCCTTGTTTTTGAGGGAATTATTGGAGGTTCGCTTTGGCCTTTTTACATTCAGTCAGGTGCCATCCATAATTTACATGTGGACTGCTTTAACCACTAAAATTTTGATCTGAAGTTGTGCTTGCGTCAACTCAGGGTCAAATACAGGAAACAACTGGGGTCTATTCCAATTGTGGGGGGAGGCATCATGATGCAGTTTCTCAGCAAACGTGTTAATCGGATATTCCAGCTTTTCACGCATTTCAAGTGACTCGCCTCACCCCTCCCATAGCAGGGTGAATATCGGTCGAGGAAATCCTCGACAGGGGGGTCGTACCTGTTGGGCTGGTCCATGGGGGGTCGTACTCTTGGGGTCAGTAACAGAAGTGGTATCATGGTGCAGATAGGTAATAGGGTATAGCGCAGCAGAAAATGAAAACATCCGAAAAAAACATGATATTAAATTTTCTTTGCAGGTTCAGTCGCTCCATTCCTCCACCTTCATGAGAAGGGCGTATTTGAAGGCAGTACAAAGAATGAAAGTGCATCCCCGCAAAGAAGAGTGCCACATGTGCGCACGCGCTGCAAAGGCACCTCCTCCGCCTATCACTCGCTCCTTCTCCCTTAATACCTCGCTGAGAATGACGCTGTTGTTAGGGACCCTGTCGGAAAAACGACAACCGTGAAGAAAAAGCGCTGGGCAAATGAAGTTGTTTTTTAGGTTACAGGAATAGCACAACACACTATGTCTACTACAATACAGTTTCGTTCGAAGGTCCCCATCATATAACACCTTTCAATCGATTCTGCAACTGTGAGTGGAGGAGGGATGCATGGCTTATACCAATACCAAATCGGATGATGACGATTGCTCCTATTCTTATTGTTTGCGTTCAAAGATATTGTTCTAGACACATTCCGAGTGTTGCCAACGAGTCACACTTGCAATGGTGAATGAGGGAGCGGATTTCCAGGTGGCCGGATCCGTCCTCGATAGATCCTCGACGCAATTATCTCTTCAACCAAAAAGCTGTAGAAGAAAACTAAACAGACCATCAGGAAGCGCAAACCTTCCGCTTTCCAAAACTATCTTCCCTTTTTCAGGATCTTACAATATAAGAGATATATTGCTCTTGAAGTGGCAAAAACTCGCGTGAAAATTTGGGCCTCCTCGACATTTACTCGACGAAATTTGACAGACCCTATCTTTCTGCAAGGAAGGCTTCCAGAGCAATTTCGATGCTTGTTGGAAACGCGAAATCCAGCTCTATCTAACTCTACCTCAAGCTGCTTCAAAGGTTGTGAAATGGAGGAATGCAACCTTTTCATCGAGGGTGTAGATTCGACTTTTTTTTTGAAATTTCGGCAAATCTGACCCAGTGACAATCGCGCCGCAGCTGCCGTTGAATCGGCCTTTGATACACTCGGCTGTTTTGATATACTCAAGCAAGAATCAAGATTGAATCGCAACCCCGTGTCTTCAGGATTTCTGTGCGTTTCTGAACGAACCTCGCCTTGAGGTCACACAAAGTTAATGCCTCTTTCCTCGAGTCGATATTTCAGTATGTACACAAAAGTATGCAGCGATGGAAGACGTGCATAGATGACAAGATGAAGCGTCCTTAGCATTATTTTGCAGAATTTTTTTTGATTTGTTTTGCAGGATTTATTTTAATTGAATTAATTTGCTCTGTTAGAGGGGGTCGTGCCAGGATCTCGATTTCGGGGGGGGGTCGTACCTCTGCGACCACGTACTCGACACGATTTTCACCCTGCCTGCAAGGTCTGTCTTCACTCCCCGGCTCGGAGTTACCGTAGCTTTCTGGAGAAACTGCATCATGATACCCCCTAACTGAAATAGACCCAATATTTGTACTGAAAAGACGCTAAATCGACTTTAGCATATGAAATCTGCCTAATTGAATTAGACTTAGTACATTTTACACGCTAATAACACGGATGCTATGAGAAGAAAGCGTCAGCGGCTGCTTCTTCGTCGAAAAAATGTAAAACAACACTTTGGAGAAAAGGAACGGAAACGAGGAAGAGGAAGCAGCAAGCTTTTAACAGAGCAGCTAATCTTAGTTGGGGGATGGGAACCAACGAGACAACGCGGAGGCTCTGTCGTCTGCTCCCTCTAAGGCTTTTATCAAAGGGGCAGTTACTGAATTTCGTCGTCACGTCAAGTATCGGCACTAGATGCAGACCCCGTGGGCACAGTCTGATCAAAAAATAATTTGCTGCAACTTTTTTTGCTATAGAGAGTTATCGAGGTTCTTGAACAAATATGAACCATACTTGTTCATTTGGCGCTGGCCGCCACATATCGGCGCCTCTTGCGAGCTAGCTAGCGCCACTAATGATTTATCTACCACAATTCAGCTCAAACTTTACAGGTTATTTTGGGCCCTGATCAGCGATATACAGCTGGTTTTTCAGCTTCGTGTTGTTTAAAGGCATATTTCTGGTTTTCTCTCTGATAGGGCCTAGTAACTATAGGGAGGGGAGTGAAACTCCGAAGGGTGAACCACGCACGCCGTGTGGCAAAAGTTGGAGTGTGTTAGACCACAGGGGGAGTGCCCTACTCACTTTGGAGCCCTCCACTATTCAAAGGCTTAGTCCTGATTGCGATCTAATTAGTGCGAGGGCGCAGACGAGCAGGAAATAGGCGCCGAATAGCGCTAACAACAAAAACGAATGTCATATTCGTAATCAGGACCCCAAATAACCCCTATACAGAAGTTTACAGCGAATTTAGTGGGAATCAGTCGTGGCGCCACCTGGCGCCAAATGGCGCCAGCGCCAAAATAATATCATATTCGTGATCAGGGCCCTCGATAACCCCCATAGCCGAAATTTCAGCGAAAATTATTTTTTGACCCATCTCACCCCTACTGGGGTTGTAATAGTGCAATAGTGCCCGCTACGCGAAATATCACGGCCAAACGCGCAAGCCATGGAGAAGGCAACGTTCAGAGTCCGC